ATCGTGCGGTAGTTGATTGAAGCCGATGCGGATGAGGCGAGCGTGCAGGTGCTGTTGCCACAATCGTGGGGCCTGCTTGATGCCGTAGAGTGACTTGAGTAACTGGCAAACTTGGTTGGGTTCTCCGTGGGAGCTGTGTAGTAACTCAACGAAGATTTCAGTATCAACAGGTGCGTAGAGGAATGCGTTGTCGACGTCGATTTGCCGCAGCTTCTTTTTCTTCATGGCGGCGATCGCGAGGAGGATTCGAAGTGAGGTATGTCGGCTAACCGGGGCAAATGTCTCGGTGAAGTCCCGTCCGTGCTCCTGATCGAATCCACGCACAACCCAGCGTGCTTTGAACTTCTCAATTGTGCCATCTGCTTTTGTTTTAACGCGGAAGACCCATTTCCCGGTGAGGATGGTTTTGTTCCTCGCCACGCTGATGGGGACGACTTTCCAGGTGTTCCGGTCCTCCAGCGCTTTTAACTCTTTGTCCATGGCTTCACGCCATTTCTCCCTGTGTTCCCCCCCCAGAGCCTGCTGAACCGTCGCAAGCTCCTTAGGAAGAGTGTCGCCATGGACTGCGGTGACGAGGCCGACTATCTGCAGTCCAGTTTGAGAGTAGCGGGGAAGATTTGCGTCCTCGGGATAAGCTGCTTCGTCTCCCGCTTCTAGATCAGGTAAGAAATTTGGTCCTACTCGTTCGGCTTCGTTGGTGTTGAATGTCGCAGGTGTTACGTAACCGTTTTCGGCGAAGTAGTAGAAGGTTTCACCGTTGACACTTTCGCGAGGGTTTTCGTCGTCCATGGGAACGTCGACGGAGCAGAACGGTAGAGGTCCGGCTTCTTCTGACGCGTTGTCCACATTCTGCTCGTCCCACTCAGCTTCATCTTCTGCGGAGGCGAAGGCTCGGTTGCCACGAAAACCACCTGTGGGATCTTGGTCCTCTTGCAAGTTGGCAAGGTATGTCTGGAGCGTGATTCGTTCGTAGAAGATGACGTCGCGTGCTGCTACTGTTTCCTTGGAGTGGACGTCGAAGATTTTCCATGCGTTGTAATTCTTTTCGATGCCGAGGTGTAGTCCCCACTGCGCGCGTTGTGAGAATCTTCCCGCTCGTGCTTCTGGGGGTCGGTACTGTACCATGCATCCAAACACTTGTAACATTTTTGTGCTGCCCTGTTTCCCTGTCCACAGCTGATGCGGTGATGCGTTGTTCGGAAGCGATGATGACGACAGCAAGTTGTGCAGCATGACAGCGTGGTCCATTGCTGCAGGCCACTGGTGGTTGGGTAGCCGCATGCCACGCAACAGTTTGCGCATGCTGTTCTGCAGAGTCCTGTTCATTCTTTCTGCTACACCTTGCTGTTGATGGGCGTAGGGAAGAGATAGGAGCTGCTTGATGCCTCTTTCCGCCAGCAACTGCTTGAATCGTTGAGAGGTGTATTCTCCTCCTCCGTCTGACTGGAAGCTTTTTAGCTTTACGCCCGACTCTCTCTCTGCTACTGGTAGCCAGGCAGCGAACGCTGCGAGGGCCATGTCGCGGCTGGGTAGGTTTAGGTGCCAGACGTAGCGGGTGGTGGCGTCGATGAAGGTGATTGTGTAATTGTAGATTACTTGTCCTGGTTCCCGATTGTACAGGATGTCGCTGTACACCTTTTCGAGTGGTGCGTACGCGGGTGCGCTCGGGTTGTGACGAGGAGCGAACGACTGATGTGGTAAGTCGGCTTCGGGGCAGGTGAGGCATGTTCCTCGTGCTCGTTGAAGTTCTCTTCCGTCGAGTAGTAGTAACGAGTCCTTGTCAAGGAATCCTGCTCTTATGGTGTTGTTTAACACAGTGTTGCTTGCGTGCCCCATCTATGCGTGCCAGGTACTTTCGTCGGCGCGATGCCCGGGTGATCGTCGGTACATGTCGGAGTTGGAGTAAAAGCTGGCAATGAAGTTGGCGCTACGATGAACTTCTCGTGGTGCTGGGTGGAGCTGTTGTGCTGCTGTTGGCGGTGTTTCATCGACGAGGACTGGTGTCGTTGTTGCTGCTGCTCTTGTTGTTCCTGCTGCTGCCAATGTTGTCTCTGCTGCTGCCGATGTTGTTTCTGCTGCTGCCGATGTTGTCTCTGCTGCTGCAGATGTTGTCTCTGCTGCTGCCGATGTTGTTTCTGCTGCTGCCGATGTTGTCTCTGCTGCTGCCGAATGTTGAATTGTTACTAACGCGCGTGTTCGTTCTGCTTCAGGAATGGTATGTGAATACCAAAAGCCTTCTGGACTGAAGTCTGGATCAAGATCTGGAGGGTGTGTCCAGTCGGCGAAGTTCACGATGGCGTCGCTGTCTGCGGTGCCTAGGTCTGGGACGAAGTCGAGGACGAAGACGTTGTTCTTCCGGACCGCCTTTCCGATATAGAGGCCGCCCTTCCCGTGGTACAACTTGAACTCCTGGGTGGTACTGTCGGCTTCCAGGTGTATGCCTTTCGCCATCAGCTGACTGACACTTAGTAAGTTGTAGCCGAGTCCCTCCGCGATTAGTACTTTTGACACCTGTAGTATGACATTTGTCTCTCGTGACTGAAGTTGCACAACTCCTTGTCGTCGTGTGCGCAGGTTTTGGTTGTTGGCGACTGTGATGACAACCTCTCGTTGAAGTCGGTGCTCGCGTTGAACGAAGCGTCCCGAGGAGCACATGTGCTGTCCGCAGCAACTGTCCAAGAACCACGTGTCTTTCCCGGACGGCTCGCTTTGAGCGATGGCGGCGTACATCGGGTTTGGTTGAAGTGACTCGCGGCGAGGCGTGCTGTTGTCGAGTTGTTCTTCTGGTGAGTAATGTGGTGGTGACTCAGTTACGCAGGAGTTGCTTAGCCTTGCCATGCAGCTGACGATGTTTCTTGCTTCTTTTGCAGGTTGTCTTGTCGATGTTGTTGACACTTGTACCGAGGTTGTCGGACTTGCTTGTGTTGAGGCAACTTGACTGCATGAAGGGCGAAGTTGGCGTTGCGGCGACGCTGACTGTTGTCGATTCGGGCAGTGAGTACGAGGATGCCCTGAAGTCTTGCAGATGTGGCAGAACGGAGGTACTGGCTTCGGTTGATGCTGCCGGTTGTTGTTGTTGTAGTTGTAGCGTCGCTGAGTGTGGAACGCGAATTCGGGCACTGATGCCTTTTTCTTGTGTCGTTCTTCTTGCAGGTCCATGTCTTGCTCCTCAGCATGGATTTTGGCGCAGAGTGCTACTTCGGAGATTCTCCCGTGTGCTCGTAGTATGGCGCGGGTGGAGCGCCAGTGAGGACCAAGACCGCCGATGACAACCGTCACGAAGGCGTCTTCTGAAATCGATCCTCCACATCGAAGAAGCTTGTCGCGCAGCTCGCGGCAGCGACTGATATATGCCATTCCCTTCTCGCCTGGTTTCATCTCGTTGTTGAAGAAGAAGCTTGTTGTCTCCACATCGAAGAAGCTTGTTGTCAACTGCGCCATTAACCGACTTTGGTTTACGCTGGCTGTTGCTTGATACAGGTTCTTCAAGTGATTGTACGCGAGCTCCGCGGAGTTGCCATATCCTCGGTAAGTCCTTATGTTCTGCTGTTGAGTCGGGGTGATGTTCCTCAGTAGTATCGTGTACGCCATCATTGATTGATAGGTGTATTGCTGCTTCTCATACTGTGTGCCGTTTGTTGGGTATGGCAGGGACCCGTCGAAGAAGCCAAGAATTTGCGCTCCTTCCATCATCAGCTCGAATTCGAATGACCAGGTAAAGAAGTCCTTCCCGTCGAAGGGTTTTGTCGTTTGCAGTTTTAAGACGTGCGCGAACTGCGACTGAACTTGTAGTGCGTCCAGCGTTCTTTCTTGTCCCGGTGCAGGTTGTGGTTTTGGTATGAAGCTGACGGAGCCGCGCTGGGGCTCGTACGGAGCGAAGGTAGGTTGTTGTTGATTTTCGCGCGCGTAGGATGAGCCATCGAGACTCATGGGCGTCACGTTGTTGTTGTTGTTGCTGTTGTTTGATGTCGCAGGTACTCCTTGCTGGTGCTGCTCGTAGAAGGACATGAAGGAGAAGAATTTCTCCATCATGCTTGGATCAAAGCCCGCGCCTTGGTTTGCGGGTGTTTCAGTATACCCAGCGGCCGGTCTTGTTGTTGTGCCTTTCTCTGTCTGTAGACCAGAGGCAGGAGGTGGAGTAGGAGTGGTACCAGGAGAGCCGTTGGAGGAGCTTCTCTCCTTTCTGATAGACATGTCTCTTGGTGTAATCAAAAGGAGTAATAGAGTTTTGCCCTAACTGCTCTCATACCATGTTGGGCTAGGTGCCCCTTAGGATCTTTGGTAGGATGAAACTCTAGGTAAAGTGATGTAATAGCGGAAGCGTTTAATGATAAGATTCTGAACCACCTTGCGCTGGTATGTGAGGGCAAAGTAAGTTGATTAAAGCAAACAAGTACAAAGGTTTATATAATAGTACAAGGAATATGAAGAGATACGAGTGATAACTGTTTTTCTGTTGCGGTTCGATACAGTGCGACTCGGGCAATTGCTCAATATCGAGTCAGTTGTGTGTCCTTGCTGTCGCGCTGCATTTGCCAAGTCAAAGGTCGCTGACCTTTGACCTTCGCGTAACCTCCAGCTGTTACTTTCAACCTCCGAGGGTTGACTCGCTGGTGCCTCGATATAATCTGCTTCGCTTGTGCCTTCGTGTTTTGACACGATAGAAGCGCTTTAGGATCGATTGTTTCCAACAACGGTTAGGCAGGTTGAAGTAATCTGATTGGCTCACACCAATCTGAAAAAAATTGGCTCCCGCCAAAACGATTTTTGAGGTTCATATCAGCTGTCGCATACGTGCGTGCTGCATCCGCACGACCGTTCCCTGGCGATGCTTTTCCGTCGCCAGGCCCAACTCCAATTTCAAGCTGGTCCTGGGTTCATCACCCACTTCCTCTAGTCACTAGTTTATTCACATAGCAGAGTGAGAACCAATCATTCCAGCTTTCTGCCTAACATTGAGTAGCTTAGGACCTCGACAATTTCCGACTAGGCGCGTAGTCATGAACTTCGCGCTTCTGCGTAATACATCTTGTATTAGCGCATTGTGTTTCCAAGCCTCGCGCAATCATCGCGCTGCGTTTCCCGGTCGCCTTCCTCTCTTGCGCATCGCCTATCACTCTCTTGTCGCCTTCGCGCTCTCTCTCCCATCGCCTAACGCGCTCTCTCTCCCGTCGCCTCCGCGCTCTCTCTCCCGTCGCCTCCGCGCTCTCTCTCCCGTCGCCTCCGCGCTCTCTCTCCCGTCGCCTTGGCGATCTCTCTCCCATCGCCTTCGCGCTCTCACTCCCATCGCCTTTGCGCAATCTCCCCTCCCATCCCGTCCACTTCATCTCCTATCGCTCACGTCCACCCCTCCCATCCTGTCGTTCGCTTCTTTTCAACTCCCATCCCGTCGTTCGCTTCCTTTCCCCTCCCATCCCGTCGTTCGCTTCCTTTCCCCTCCCATCCTGTCGTTCGCTTCCTTTCCCCTCCCATCCCGTCGTTCGCCTCCTCTCCCCTCCCATCCCGTCGTTTGCCTCCTTTCCCCTCCCATCCCGTCGTTCGCTTCCTTTCCCCTCCCATCCCGTCGTTCGCTTCCTTTCCCCTCCTATCCCGTCCTTTGCTTCCTTTCCCCTCCCATCCCGTCGTTCGCCTCCTTTCCCCTCCCATCCCGTCGTTCGCTTCCTTTACCCTCCCATCCCGTCGTTCGCTTCCTTTCCCCTCCCATCCCGTCATTTGCTTCATTTCCCCTCCTATCCCATCGTTTGCCTCCTCTCCCCTCCCATCCCGTCGTTCGCCTCCTCTCCTCTCCCATCCCGTCGTTCGCTTCCTTCCCCTCCCATCCCGTTGTTTGCTTCCTTTCCCCTCCCATCCCGTCGTTCGCCTCCTCTCTCCCTCCCTTACGTAGTTCTTCACGGTCTCCCCTCCCATCCCGTTGTTCCCCTCTCTCTCCCCCTATTTTTTTTTCCTCTCTCTCCCTATTTTTTTACCTCTCTCAACCTCAAGCCCAAGGAACCCTTTTTCTCGCAGCTCTTCCATTCGTCCGCCAACATTCACTCCCAGATCATGCATAGGTGTGTGCGCTGAGTTGTGCCTGTGCCGTTGATTGTTGTGAGTTTTGGTGAAGTTACGATGACTGCTCGAGTGAAACAAGGCTACGGCGCAACCACGTTAGGCGAGGTTGGCCGAGCCTGCCAACGCAAAGGTGGCGCCGTAGCTAGAAGAAGAGAGGAAGAGTAGTCGCAGCGGAATAGAGAAGAAGCTAGGCTAGTGAGAGATGCCTAACTCTGGAGTCTTAGATGAGAGATGAAGAAGTAGAAAGTAGATTCCAGAAATAAGGATGATACAACAAGAACTAGGAAGAGATATTTATGCTAGGAAGATGTGAAATGAGAAATGAGGAATGAATGAACTAGCAAGCAGGTGGGTACAAGTAGGAAAACCGTACCCCATATTGTTTACCCCACTACAGTCTACACAGACTATAGCATAAGAGTTTGACACACCCCCATAGGCAAAGTGGGGGAGAACAAGAGGTCACAAGACCAGTCAACCAAAGCAAAGCAAGCTCAGGGTTGATCACAACGTCACCACACAGTCCGAGCACAAGCTCAAGGCCACAAGGCCAGTTCACATGCAAGATCATATATAAAGGTAAACAAGCAAGTGCAGGCATAGTAAGATCACAGTACAAACAAGGTCAAGAAGTGAGCAAGTGAGGCCAAGTAGGCACAAGACCTAGCATCGTACAGAAGCGCTGATGATCACAAGGCGGAAGTGCCTTGGTAAAGATATCACCAGTGTTGGCCTCAGAGGCCACGTAAGCAAGGCGCAGTGGACCACGCTGCTGCAGCTGACGAGCAAGGAAGTAGCGAAGAGCAATGTGCTTCGTTCTGTGCTCCAGTCTGTGCTCCCGACACAAGGCCAGCATGGCCTTGTTGTCTACGTACAGAACTGGAGGATAACGAGGCGGCTCTCCTAGGTCAGTCAGCAGGTAGGTGAGCCAGCGTAGCTCCTGTGCAGCCATGGCCCCCACGTAGATCTCAGCCTCACAGCTGGAGCCGAGAACAGAAGAAGAGCGGGTAGACCGCCACGAAACAGAGCCAGAGCCAAGGCTGAAGGTGTAACCCTGTGACGACCGCTGTGTAGCCTGGTCGTCAGCCCAAGAAGCGTCTGCGTGACGTGTGAGGACCACTCAACGTCGCCCTCCAAGCACTAGCCCCATGCCCGACGTACTGCAGAAGTAGCGCAACACCCTCTTCGCTGCAGCCATGTGCTCTGGTAGGTGTCTCCTAGGAGCGACATAGCGTGCCAAGAAGCTAAGAGGGTATGCAAGGTCAGGTCGTGTGCAGGTCATCAGGTACATGAGGCAGCCAACAAGCTCTAGGTATGGGCCACTCGGCTCTACGGACTCATCCGAAGGTAGAGCTGAGAGCGAGTGGCGAGTAGAGAGAGGAGTGGCCTGAGGCGAGGAGTACGTGAAGTCGAAGCGCTGAAGGACCTGCTGCACCATGTGTGACTGAGTCAGGGTAATGGTGCGCTGTGCTTTGTCCCGGGTGATCTGCAAGCCAAGGTAGCTGCGCAGTTCACCTAGGTCTGTGCACGTGTGTCTCTTCTGCAGCTCGGACTTCACGTGGGCGAGTCGAGCAGTGTCAGCAGTGGCAAAGACTAAGTCGTCGACGTACACGCGGATGTAGAACGGCGGCAAAGAGGTGTCGGTGCACAGAAACAGCGATGGGTCGGCTGTAGAAAGAGCAAACCCAAGAGCCGCAAGTCTAGTCCTCAGTGTGTCGTGCCACTCATGGGGCGCCTGGCGGAGACCGTAGACTGGCTGCCGGAGGCTCCACTGGGTACCAGGAGGAAACGACCCAGTGAAACCAGGTGGGCGGCGTAGCCAGATCTCCTCGTGCAGGCTGAAACCAGGTGGGCGGCATAGCTAGATCTCCTCGTGCAGGCTGCCCTGCAGGAAAGCTGTGCTGAAGTCAAGAGAGTGAAGCTCGTAGTCGCGCTGAGCGGCTATGTGCAGCAGCACACGAAGAGTGGTTATCTTTGGGGTGGGAGAGAAGGTCTGAAAGTAGTCAACTCCCTGGGTTGCAGACAGGGCCGGTGCTGTCGTTGTAGTAGTCCGGCTTGTACATGTAGAGGGCACGATCTAGCTTGCTCAGCAGAAATGGGTTCTTGATGTCGAGCTGCATCAGGTGCAGGTCGAAGACTGCTACGATGTTGAGAAAGATCCGCAGAGTCACGTAGCTCCCCACTGGCGCATACATCTCGTCGTAGTCTGCGCCGTAGACCTGCGTGAAGCCTTTTGCGACCACGCGGGCCTTCTTGCAGGCGACCGTGTCGTCGACGTGGTACTTTGTCGTAAGCACCCAACGATTCTTCATGATATTGATGCCACGTGGACGCTCGACCAGCTCCCACGTCCCGTTGGTGATGAGGCTCTTGATCTCCTCGTCCATGGTGGCCTTCACGGCCTTCCCCTTCTAGCTCGCCAACGCCTCCTTCACCGTCATCGTTGCGATGTCCCAACGATGTTCCGAGTCGGCGTGCATGTCGGGGCCGAGCTCGGGGAGGTCGACGTCATCCTCTGCGTCGTCAAGCAGGGTGCTGTAGGAGGTCGATGGCAGATCGGCATGGTAGCTCAGCTTCTCTGCGGGCTTACCGAGGATGGGGCGGGAGGAACGCCTTGGCTTCACTTCTTCAACTGGGACTTCCACCACGTCACCGTTGTCGGACGGCTCCCCTGCCGACAGCTCCCCTTCCTCGCCGCGAAGGATTCTTACAACGTCGCTCTACGTGTCATCATCGAGCTGGTCCTCTGCCGTCGGCTCCTCTGCCGACTTCGCCTTTGCCGACTCCTTTGCCGACTTCTCCTCTCCCGTCGGCTCCTCTGCGGATTCCGCATCTGCCGACTCCTCCTCTGCCATCGGCTCCTTTGTCCGGCGCTCCCCTGTCGTCGACGGCTTCTCCACTCAGCCGCCGAGGTGCATCTTGCCACGTCGGCTGCCAGCGATGCCACCAGCCGTCGGCCGCCTGCGATGCCTTCCATGCCTCCAGTGACATAGTTTCATAGAAGATGGCCTCTACGGTCGTCACCACCTTGTTGTCGGTGAGGTCGAGCACTGTCAGAACATTATAGCTTATACATTTGTGTAGGCTGTAGTGGGGTAGCCCATAAGGGGTACAACCCAATTAGTGTTAGTACTTGTACCCAACTGTTTCATAGTTCATTCATTCTCTCGTTCTCATCTTCACATGGTATAGAGCTGGTTCCCTCGTGGGAACTGTTCCTAGGGCCCACCAACTTTTTTTTTTTTCCTGCCCGGAGCATGCTTGGCCCCTGCCCGAGAAGCGCCCCGTGCCGTCTCCCCTCTAGCGGCCTCTAGCGACCCCTTCTACGGGCCCTAACGGCCCCGTCGCGCCGCCCTTTTGGCCCCGTCGCGCCGCCCTTGCGGCCCCGTCGCGCCGCCCTTTCAGCCCCGTCGCGCCGCCCTTGCGGCCCCGTCGTGCCGCCCTTTACGCGGCCCCGTCGTCGCCCCTTCCTGCGGCCCTGTTGCCACCCTTTCAGCGGCCCCGTTGCCGCCCTTCCACGGCCCCGTCGCCGCCCTTTCACGGCCTCGCCGCCCGCCCTTACAGCGGCCCCGTCGCCCGCCCTTCAGCAACCCCGACACCGCCCTTCCGCGGCCCCGTCACCGCCCTCCAGCGGCCCCGTCGCCGCCCTTCAGCGGCCCCGTCACCGCCCTTTAAGCGGCCCCGTCGCCGCCCGCCCTTTCAGCGGCCCCGTCGCCACCCTTCCACGGCCCCGTCGCCGCCCTTCCACGGCCTCGCCGCCCGCCCTTATAGCGGCCCCGTCGCCCGCCCTTCCGCGGCCCCGACACCGCCCTTCAGCGGCCCCGTCGCCGCCCTTTCAACGGCCCCGTCGCCGCCCGCCCTTCCAGCGGCCCGTCGCCGCCCTTTCAGCGGCCCGTCACCGCCCTTTCAGCGGCCCCGTCGCCGCCCTTCCACGGCCCCGTCGCCGCTCAGCCGCCCAGCGCCCGAGCCGCCGAGCAGCCGAACCGCCGAGCAGCCGAGCCGCCCGACCGCCGAGCCGCCCAGCAGCCGAGCCGCCGAGCAGCCGAGCCGCCCGAATACCGAGCTGGACTGCAGCCGAGCCGCCCGACCGCCGAGCCGCCGAGCCGCCGATCCGCCGAGCCGCCGAGCAGCCGAGCCGCCGAGCGGCCGAGCCGCCCAACCGCCGAGCCGCCCAGCAGCCGAGTCGCCGAGCCGCCCGACCGCCGCACTTGCCTGGTAAGAGCAGCGTCTCTGCCACTGCACTGCCCTGCCCCACTGTACTCACTGCCTGTCTACTGCTGTCATGGCCTCCCCTAGTGTTCTCACCTTTGACGCTGAGGGTCGGGCAGTAGACTTTGAGGTCAGGGTAGATGATTTGCAGCTTTTCCTACAGTGCGATAGGGCAGACGGTCTCTCCCTGTTTGACCTCACTTCTGGTGCCTCTCGTGCCCCTGCTGCTGATGCTGACGCCACTGTTCGCTCACAGTGGGCCATGCGTGATGCTGCTGCTCCCCTTGCTGTGCGCCGCCACTTACCGACCACTTAGCGTGCACACTTTAGCCAGTACAAGAGTGCTCAGACCTTGTACGACGCTGCAGCTGCGCGCTACTCTTCCCCTGCCACTGCTGCACTGAGCCGCCTCATGCTACCGTACCTCTTCCCTGACCTTGCTGCCTTTCCCACAGTAGCTGACCTCATTACGCACCTCCGCACTAGTGACACTCGCTACCGCGCTGTGCTTCCTGCTGAGTTCTGCGCCAAGAACCCCCCCCCCCCCCATTTACATCACCCTCTACTACATAGTCACCCATCTCCCTGACTCTCTCCGCGTAGTCAGGGACCACTTCCTCTCAGTTTGCCCCACCACTCTCACCGTTGACCTCCTCGAGAAGGCCCTCCTAGCGGCAGAGAAGAGCATAGTCGCTGTAGGAGCCTCTCGTGGTGACCCTCGCACCCCCGTCTTTGAGGGGTGTTCTCCCTCCCCCCTCTTGCCCTCTGTTGCCTCTGCTGCTGCGGCCGACCTCGTTGGTTTC